TTAGTGTCAGCAGCCTTGTTGGAGTTGACATCTGTCGCGAGCTGCTTCGGAGACTGCGTCTGAGATGTGCTTTGACTTTGGTTCTCACTCTGTAAGGAAATATACGGAGTTAAAGTGATTTTTACTAAGTAAAAAATTTTATATACGAACTTTTCTCACTTTTTAACAGACTACTGTATACTCTGTGTCAATGTACGCTGACCTTGTTGTGTACCGGTGTCTGCAGCGTGTGAGGTGCGTGAGGCGTGTGAGCGTGAGGTCAGCGTGAGGTCGCACCATATGGTGCAGCGGGCACGCCGCGCGCTCTCGCCTAGTTGCTTCACTGCCTCCGCTAGGTTTGTTGTTGTACTATCGAACTGACCTTGTTGTGTATCGGTGTCTGCGGCGTGTGAGGCGCGTGAGGCGTATGAGGCGGCGCGAGGGCGACGGTCAGCGTGAGGTCGCACCACATGGCGCAGCGGGCGCGGCGCGCGCACTCGCCTAGTTGCTTCACCGCCTCCGCTAGGTTTGTTATTGCTGAAATGTAATATACAAGATTAATTATTAGTTCAAAAATGTAGTATTTAATAAAGATATAAGGCGTGTATAACTCACGGTCTTGTCGCGGGTATCTGGCGTTGGCGTGCTGCGCGTGCGTGGTATGCGGGGCGAGCTCGCGTCGTCGCGCCGCTTGCACCGCGGCTACAGCGCTGCGCCACGCCAACATAGCGCTCTCTACCTCACTGTGTGGTGCGCTACGAGACAGTACAAATACATACTCCATTAATCACGTAATATTCGAAAGATCCGGAAAAAATCTCGAAGTACAGAAAGATATGAGAAAAAAATTATTAACAATATAATACTAGCTGTTGCCCGCGGCTCCGTCCTCGCGAAACGAAAAAAAAACTGCATTGGTAGCATATCTGTTCTTTCAGACTATGTTCTACATCTATACCAAATTTCAGTGACATCCATGCAACCGTTCTAAGGTTACCTTCAAACATCCATCCATACAAACATTGGCATTTATAATATAAGTAAGAAGTAAGATAACAAAATATGTACAACAAACTTACATTTCGGATACATTTTTGACATCATCACGCCAAGTGCTAGGATCGAAGTTATTCGGATCCATTCCATTGTCCCTCTCTTTGTCGCACACGTTCTCCTGTCCGCGCTTCAATACTGTTATCTTTGGATCTTCTTGTTTATGTTTCTTATTATGTACACAAACACTTGCACGCAATGTTTCCATTTTACCCATCAGTGTTAACACCTGTAATCATTTATAACAATTATAGTGGGTTTCTGAGACAAAAAATCTATCAGGGATGATATGTTTTTTATAGACATTTTGGTCTCGGTAATCAAGAGTAAGACAATATAATGCATTTTAGAGTTAAAAAAACTAAAAAAAAGGAATAAAGCTAATCAACACAATCCACAATTTAATTGAGAAAAATAAATTTAAAGTGTTCTTTCTTTTGAATTTTTTCTTTGTTATATTAGCAGACAGTCGCCCGCGACTCTGTCTGGATCTTATTAAAAAAAAAACTTAATAAGTAGCCTATGTGTTCTTCCAGACTATGTTCTGCATCTATGTCAAATTTCATCAAGATCCGTTGAACTGTTCCGGAGATACCTTCAAACATCCATTCATCTAAACATTTGCATTTATAATATTATTAAGATTTTCAATACCTTAGTATGTTCCCTCAGCATATCCACAGTGAGCCTGTCGACTCGTGTAGGGCAGGGTGGGAGACGCGGCACGGGTATGGAGTTGGAGGAGGAGACTGCGCGGCCAGGGTAGGCGAGGGCGAGGCGCGCCTCCGTCCTCTTGCGTTCCCTTTCCAATTGCTTCCATTGTTCATAGCACATCTCTAACCGGGCGTGTAGTATGGCTGATGGTGTTACTGTATGCCTAATCAAAAATAACTCGTTTATATATCTATATTTTATTGTTGCGTCGGTGGCTCAGGGGTTTAAGCACTTGACTTGCAATCTGCAGGTCTTGGGTTCGAATCCCGCCATGTACCAATATGTTTTTTGATTTCCGATTTACATATGTACATTATCTGACGTTCTTACGGTTAAGGGGACATCGTGCTGTAACCTGCACATATCTGAGAAGAAATTCAAAGATATTTGTGAAGTCAACCAAACCGCACTTGATCAGCATGGTTGACTATGGCCTAGTTACCCCTAACTTAGGGTATGCTCCGAGCCCCTCGGTGGGGACGTATAGTAAGATGATGATGTCTATTTTGTAGTATCCATTTTATTTGTCCTTGAGTGTAAATGTTGTGAAACATGTTTGAAATCCGTTCTGAAGATAAAAATCTTTAAAACAAACATCCATGAATCCAAATGTTGGCATTAAAATATCAGTAAGACTTATAAATTCCAAAGTTCAACGCATTTCATAATCGCGATTCAAATAAAATAATATTTCGATACAACGCCATCTATTGACAAAAGACAAGCAATTGGACAACTTACTTCATGCTCCTCAATATATGGTATGGTGTCAGTGGTAAGTCGACCATGGGAGATGACAGTACGGTCTGAGGAACCGGTGGGCTAGGTCCCAGTAATGCACCCACTCCTAAAAATAAAAACTATATTTGTAACCGTCAAATTGTAAATTGACTTTGTTAAAAAACTAGCTGTCGCCAGCGTGGAAGTAAAGAAAAAACTTAATAGCCTATGTGTTCTTCCAGACTTGTTCTACATCCATGCAAATTTCAGCAGACATTCTGGAGCATCCATCCATCCAACTAACCACTTGCATTTATAATATTAGTAAGATTTGTCGATTTGACTAAAACAATTTGTAGCCAAAAGTTTTATCTTATACACTTTACAAGAATAATTTTACTCAAGAATTTATCATAAAATGGTAATATTGTTTAAAATTGTATTTACTTTGTGAAAATGGCTGCTGTTTTTTTTTTAATAAATAAATAAATAACTCACCCATATTGAAAGGAGTATTTTCATGTAGAAACGATACATCCACATTTAATGGATTAGGAGGAGGTCTGTTCCTCATGATAAGCATTTGTCTAGCTATATCCTGGTTCTGTCTGAGTAGCGCAACCTGTTGGGCATTCTCACGACCCATGTTATCGAAACCAGGCCTCTCTAAATTGCCATTGCCTTGGAAACCTTCCCGTTGCATCATATCACGACGTACAAAATCCTGTTGATGATATCCATTCGGTTTGAACATTGGATTTGCTTGAGTTTGATTCGAATAATAATTCTGATCGATTCCCTCGTTCGATATATTGTTGAAATAGAAATTTTCACCATTGTAAGTTTTGTTCGGATAATTTCTATGAAAAAACATCTTGTTTCTTTCCTCTTGTAGTTTGAATTCATCATTTTGATATTGTGTGTTAATATCGAATTTACAATCGCCTAACAAATCATCACGATTTCTTTCCAATAGGCTTAGCTGGTTCAAATAGGCCAATAATTCGCTTGAATCGTTTTGATCCTTTACATAAGTATTATCATATTTATTCAGATATCTTTGTGTATTGAATGAATTGTCAAAATTTGTATAATTCATATCTAGATTAAGACTGTTTGGTCTGTTATAATTGGTCGAGAATATGTTCGTATCGTTCAAAGAATTTCTTTGGCTCGGTTCGAAGTAGTTGTAAAATTTATCATCATATTTACTAGGATTAGTAAACTGCGCTCCTCCAATCTCTTGTGCCGCTAAACGTAGTAGATTCAGTTGTTCCGGTGTAACCGTTTCCGCACTCGCGTCCCCTATGGGATCCAAACCCAATAGTCCCGTCACATCATTATCTGGATACACAAATCCATTGGTGTTGAATCCATTCTGTTGGAGATTGTAGTTGAATCCATTCTGATTGGTCGGTGAGTAATTGAATAGTGAGTTTTGGTAAGCATTGAAATTAGACGGTGGTATGTATGATGGATTTGTGGGTTCATTTTTCGGGAATTGATTGACGACCGGTGTACTTGTTATGGGTTTATCTGACGTGCAGCTGTGAAAATAAAAGTACTCATAAGTCTAAAACACTGATACCACTAATACTTTTTCACTATCTGTGGTAGACTGCTTATTTAACATAAACTGTTATGTGGGGGACTTTCCGATCATATAACTTAGTAATATAGAATATATGAAGTTAATAAAATGACATACCTAGGTGTGTCTGATGGTCCGGTCTCATCCAAGATTTTGGTGATGAGATCACGGACCATCGAGTTCTCTTCCATAATGCGCTCCGACTGTAATAAATAAATAAATATTCAATAACCTTAGAAGTCTGAAGACAGAGCCATGTATAGTCCTTTTTTTATTTTTATTCTTAAAGCCAAAGTTTTTTTATTTGAATGTTATATTAATATAGGTCCATGGTCTCTGCCTACCCCTCTGGGTTACGGATGTGAGTTATGTTGTTATTTTAAGTAATTGAATTTAATGATCACTTAAGTAGTGTCTTAGTGTAGATCAGTGGTTCCCAAACTTATTTTGTCTACTGCCCACTTAAATATTTTTTAGCGCCCCCATATTTTCACATATTTAAAAACCACTATAACTTCAAATTAAATTAATTAATTATTGTGACATATATATGTATATTAACAGAGAATTCTAGACGAAACTTTTACTAAAACCCGCAACTTCAAACCTGCAGCGCACACAAGGGGGCATTATCGCCCACTTTGGGAAAGACGTGTAGATTCATGAGAATGTGGAATTCTTAGTAACCTATTCATTACCTAGTAAATGAAATTTTGCTTATATTAAACTATCTGTCGCCTACGACTCTGTCCACATGGAATACCATAAAATCTTAATTAGTGCCTGTGTTCTTCCAGACTATGTTCAATATGCATGCTAAAATTCTTTACTTGAGATATCTTCTAACACACATCCATCCAAACATTCACATTTATAATATTACTAGGATGGTAAAGCATGCAAAACCATAGCTCAAAGCTAGTGAATCTCACTTTAGTATTATATTTGCATGTGAACATATTTAAAAAAACAATAATATTAAACTTGAATAGAACAGTGCATTATTTAAATAAATACACATTATTTGTTCAAATAAATTATTCAACACCAAAATGATGGCCTCATACCTTTTCATGTCATTATTGAACTTATGCTTATTGAAATATAATATGTCATCATTAAATTAAAACAATCCATTTAAATAAAAGTGTATTTTTGTATGTTTGTTGTCTATGCCTTTTTAAACATGCTTTGAAGTATGCTATTAATAAAAATAAGTTAAAAAAAAACACTTTTTAACCTTTAACTGATATTCAACACTATGGCAACTTTTATAAGACTATTGCAAATTCCTATATTAAATTATTCCTTACCCGAATAAACAGATCTACAAAATCAGTCCAGCACTTTACAAGATCAAACACACATTCACAAAATAAATATTTATCTATCTGATAGTTTCTATTGTCGAAACCGAAACATTTGTGTGTCCATCCAGACATATAAGAATACATATACCCAAACCTAACTGAACAAAATCATTTGATCATGAGGAACATTAATGATATCTCAGTTGCTAAGTTTGACAAACCTACTGCTACACTACATTTCCCATTCAATCTTACTATAATATTATAAATGGGAATGTTTAGATGGATGGATGTTTGAAGATATCTACAGAACGGCTCAAGGGATCTTGCTGAATGACATCGGTGTAGAACATAGTCTGGAAGAACATGTAGGCTACTAATTGAGTTTTCTTTTTAATTCCATATGGATGGAGGCGACAGTCATTAATAAAGATTTCTTGCTTATTAATATTTACTAGTGAATGTTAAGTAACTTTGTATTTTATTAACCAACTAGCTATTGCTTGCTATATCATCAGTGTTGAGTTAAATAAAGGAGAAAATAGCCCATAGAACACCCTAGTGTATAATAAATTTCCCTTAAAAGTCTTGTCGAATAGGACCAGCCTATTTAGAGAATATCCAAAACAAACTGTTTTTCATTATAACTAACACAAACAGACTATGTGTACAAAATTAAAGATTTATTTTAAAGCCACTCCTATTTTTTATACTGTATAGATATAGATATGCATAGACAGTTTCCATCAGCAGTTTTACTTTATTTATTACATTGTTTAACTTAATAATTTAACGTAATAATTTGTAAGCTCATTGAATACTTAATGAAGTAAAATATAATAAACAATTTAATTTTCTTTGAGTTATATAGCTTAAAAAGTCAGTACATAGTTCAGGATTTCATTAAATATATAGTGTAAGGAAATCATTCTGAAATTCATACTTGAAGTTCTATTTTATATATTTACCAATAAGATTTTAAACTTTATAGAAATAATTGTTTATTGTCATATTTCTAATTATTGATTAAAAAGTGATTGTATTTCATCTAAGACATTATGAATAGAAAAATCACGTTTCAATACTGCATGTGACCTTTTTAAGTTCAAAGAAAAAAACAAGAAATATGGTGCAACCAATATTTGAATACAAATCTGTTTCATATAATTACTAAAGGAACAACCGTACGAAATGAACTGTTTCTATTTTGTCTCGTAATTGTGAAGGACATTTGAATATGTAAAAATTCACGGAGAAAGTAAATTCCAACCCTAGTTACTGCCTACCTAATTCATACCCACATATGTGATAAAAACAAAGTTTTAGTTGAATAAAACGATTATGAATAGAATTATAACATAAGATGAACTTATCGACATTACCTGCGGTATTGTCCTTTAAAGAACAAGCTACATAATTCTATAAATATTGTATGTAGTGTTTCGATGTCACCATTATCTCGGCAAAATTTTAAGTCGTGTTACAACTGTCCACGCCTATGGGAACCTTTTATTGACAAACATCACTGATTTATCTCACATATGGTCACAGTATACACTTTTTTTGCTTATATTTACGACATTTTCCCGGATTTTGGGGTCAAACTGACAGCTAAATACGACATTTCTAACACCCATACAAAACGCACTTTGGAACAACACTTCGATACTTACCTCAGATTCATTTTCAACGGCTTTGTACGCGTTACTTATTTGACATAAATCACTGAATGCCATTTAAACTTAAATATTATTTCTTGCCACGGTACATAGGAGCTACGAGTGCTAAGCCATTTTTTTCATTGACCTACATGTGTATATATCGCGCTTATAGCTCATAGCACTGGTGTTGCCGTCATAAATGAATCGGAATCGACTAAAATATTTGCAAAATAATATAAAACAATTGATATTACTTACGTGATGCATGCAAAATAAAATCAATAACCCAGGGCAATCTACTTAACTTCGTAAAAATCTAAGCCTTCTTTTTTTTCTATTCAATTTTCCCGCCTTTCCTTCAACCCATAGGTGCAAAGTTTTACAGCCAAATATTTTTTGGTAATATTTTATATTCAAAAACTGTTATTGTTAATAAATCTATTTTAAACTGTATTTAATGTTATTTTAACCATAATAAAATTTGTTGACAAACTTACAAGAACACTTTGATGTTGTCAAAATTTTACACAGCCCAAAAATTGATCTCTTGCAGAGTTTTCTTTAACAAACCCATATTTTGCATTTTTAATCAAGGATGCATATAAGTTTTAATATAAAATTCATTGGAATGTAACTAACACAATTTAATTAAATTGCTTAAATTCTATTTAAGATTGTTCAAATAGATATGCGGAAGCGCCATCTTACGAATGAATTCTACACCGACAACGAATGACATAAGGTGTAAGGGAAAATAAAACTAGATGGCCTAGAACTGATATTTAATCATTTCTTTACGATAAGATTTTTCTTCCTATTTTTTTCAATAGGTATAGTACATATTCATGTATCATATAATTCCGTGTATATTATTACAATATAAAATCGTTATATCTATGGTATAATCTATATTGACTTTCTGAGATACGGCTCTACAATAAAAATAGTAATTTGAATAATTCTAGATTTGATAATAAAGCATTAATTTTCTGTATAATTATTTAAAATCATCTATGTAAGAATTAGTCGATTAATCGACAAAAATCAATAGTAGGATACCTATACAGTTGAGTGATTCGATATAAAGTCTGATAGAACGTAAACTAAGTTACAATGCGTTGACCAAAGCGTTCAGAGATATGCACTGATATAATTGCACTGTCGAAACAATGCAATTGGAGTACAAAGGGATTTATCCGTACAGATTTCGTTTCACGCCCATGTAATTCCGAGCACGCGGTCATGCGATTAAGTTCGCTTTGATATCATTAACACTGGACGTGTAATTAAAGGAAAAAAAACAGTATTGAGTGTTATAGTAGTTTAATATCTGTATCGATTAAATTATCTATACTTTGCATATCTAATGTGGGTTTCTGGACAAAATCCCAGTTTAAAACACATTGTTTTCTCTGTTTTGTAAAATATAATGACAGCGATGACTATACGCAAGATAATTGGCGCCACGCCATAAAAATTGTGCCCATTTGTGACAATTGCTATGTTTTTGACATCTCGGTATATTAAAATATTATAAAAGGAATTTACTTGACTAAAAAAACATTGTTGTTTATGGCGGGTAGATACGTATGTTTTTATGCTATAATGCAGTAGCGGAAACAGTTGAGCCCATTTTGACTAATGTCATTATTTTCGCTGTTTATGCAATGTTGGGTATTATGAAAATAAATCAGTCGATTCGCAGTCACTGTTTATTTTCTTATAACGACAAGTTTACATGATTTAATTAATAAAATAAGTTGAAAAGTGCCCTAAAGACAATTATTACTTTATTAAGGTAAATGGTTTCATATAATTAATAATGGGGGAAGATAGAAAAGTCAAAGCAGCATATCGCGGCACCCCGACTGGTCGCCAACCCATCGGCCGGCGTAGATGCCGCTGGCGAGATGCCGTAGGGGTGGACTTGCGGGAGCTACAAGCGATGGACTGGCAGGAGAAGGCGCAAAACATGCGACTTTGGAGTTCTCTTGTGTCGGAGGCCAAGACCCACTTTGGAAAGCTGCACCAGCGGAGTAAGTAATTAATAACGTGTATATTTTTAACCTTAGTAAATAAAGGAAATGATTTTACTAGGTATTCGACAATTGCATTGTTACAGATTAAGTCGTGTTATAGAGGTTAGGACTGGATTAATGTTACTAAAATTATAAAAGCGAATGTTTCGATGGATGGTTGTTTGTTTGAAGATTTCTCCAAAACAGTTGTTTAGATCTCGCAGAAATTTGGCATAGATGTACAACATAGTCTGGAATAATACATAGGACGGAGTCGCAGGCGACTGCTAGTATTATTATAAATGCGAATGTTTGGTTAGATAGATGGATGGATGTTTGTTAATTGTCTGACACATGAGCTACTATTTTTTAAATACCGCGCGGACGGAGTCGCGAGAGGCAGTTAGTTTTTAAATAAATTAGTTTTTAAATAATTTATAGAAACGTGACCACCACATCTTTGCCCATTTTCTATGAAGGTACAGTAACTAGTCTTTAATACGTCTTTATCCGTCTTCATATTCAATTCAATCACTCAGCAGTACAAACAATTAATAGGTAACAATTATTTTTCACTCAATCAACCCTTAATAGTGTTTTATCAGGTAATTGTGAACAATAACAAACAGAGACGTCACCTACAATCATTTTAATCTTCAGCATGGCAAGATAAATTGGATAATGGCACAGCGGGCGGCGAGCCGCGGGAGGCGGCGCGTCGTAAGCAGATGACGTTTGGACTGTCATGGCCGCCGAGAACTCGATTTGACAGCTAATTTTGGAAGTAAGTGTAGTTGAAACATTTAACGTAATTTATTAATTGAATTTGTTCAATCTTTGGGAAAGTAGAACAAAACGTATTGTGACGTAATTTTTTTAAAGTTGGTGGAAAGTTCATGGTTTTTGTACAGATTCTTCATTTGTGGAAATTCGTAGTTAGACTGACTATGATTAAACTAAATGTAATTATTATATTAAGCATATTCTAGAAGACAGCAAAAAGCAGAAACTAAAAGCAGAAGCACATAAAGCAGAAACTAAGTCGATGCTTAAATTCTCTTCGCTCCTTTTGGTTAACATTAACCTTCTCGTACTTATTTTCTGAAGATCCTATGGTTATTTAAGTAATTTTTAAAACTGATGAATATAGTAGGTGTAAAAAAAAAATCTGCGTTTTGTTACTTTTAGTACTCGATATGTTTCAGGAATAAAAATATACATATTTTTAATATTTAAAATCAATTTGGGCGAATCAAATTAATACCTTTAGTTCAAATATAGAATAAAATAATTTACATTGTGAAAAAAGCCCGCCAATAAATTACGTAGACTCCCAAATCTACGTGAGGCGGAACGTTAAAAAAAATGTAAAAAGTAAAACAACCCTGGCACGAAGAAATCAATCGCAATCGAATCAAGAATACGTCGCCTTCGAGAGGGAAAGGGATACACTATTTTGTTTTTGCATGAGTGTGAAAGGGTCGAATTTACCGTTAATCCTATTGGCTTATACCAGGCGACGTTTGCCACGATTGGTCGCTTTGCTTTATTGAACTGTCACTGAAGACTGCGGTTTAGGGGTTGCTGTAATTCGGGGGCAAATGGGGGTGAAACGTGGGTTGGGGATGGGGATGAGGCACGCGGGATGGGGGATGGGGGTTAAAGTACATTTCATTGCGCGGAGTTTGGCGATTGACTTGTGGATAGTTTTTAGGGGTTCCACGCGAGCTGTTGAATATTTATTGATTTTCTGTACTTTTAAAAGAAAAGTGCATAATTTTTATAACCAAATATAAATCAATATGGTTTCAATAACAGTTAAGGTTATTTTATTTAACTCTAGTACTAAAGTTTTGACTAGAAAGTTTTTTTTTTTCATTTATGAACAAATCGTAAGGATTTTGCTTTACATGAAAAGTATTTTGACAATTGCAGATATTAAAAAAAAACTAACAGTCATTCTTTTAAAATTAAATAAAGAATATTTGTAAATTAAAAGTAAATATAATATTTAAAAAGAAAATAAAATGATTATTGTTGATAAAAAAAATTAAAATTACTAATCCTGTCTGTATTTTTATAACACCCATTCCATTGATCTGTACGTTATAAAATACCTAATGTTAACGTCATTCCGCCATGACTTCTGATTGGACAACGAATGCGCGGGAAAACTGTTGACTTTTCCTGTTTGATGGCACTCGAGAAATATAATTCGCCACGCCCTGCGATACCTTCCCCATTCTTATTGGACGAAATATCAAATGTCATTGTCATAAGGCACTCACGTACATTTTTCACGCACTTATTTACCCACTTTTATTGTACCTTTTTTGCGAGTTCAACTTCGACCATAAACAATTGTTTTTTTTTTTAATACAATGCAAACATTACAAAGGTCACATACATTTTCATCCAATTCTGTTTGTTAAATTCCTGTAAGTTAATACAATAATGACAATTTTAGTATGTTATATTTTAGGAAAATCTCAAATAAGATTTGACTGTGTTGGATCTCGGGAACTCGTATGATAATTTTCCAAGTACCATTTTGAAATGTTGACATAAAACGTAACTACGTAAATTATAAAGCCGATATAGCCTTTTACGCTAATTGAAAAATAGCAATATCCGTTCAATTTCGTTTTGCAGAATATACGGCGTCATTATTCTAAATGGGTAGCCGGCGCCGGCCGTGATGCCACAAATTAAAGCTTAAAACGGACGCTTAACAGCTGACCCAAAATCGAACTCATCCCCCCACTTCGGAAGGGGGTTGGCGTCAACCCCTTATATGTTTGGCCAACGATACAAACTGTAGTTTGTACAAAGTTTAACGTTTGCCAAACATTTCAAGAGATTTTTTTTTTATATAGTAAATGTAACATGTTATAATATTAATTGTTTTAGTCTTTGGATTGTGGACATTCTAGCTATTACTGTGAATTACTTACGAATAAAATAACTGTAGATCAATTAAACGCAATATATCTATGTTGGTCTAAAAATCACAAATATTTTGTTCATTGGTTAATTTATTTCGGTTTTCACGCTTTGTACTAAAAGCTACTGTCGCGTCATTAGCAATTCAATGGTAAGGCATAACAGCTTTTATTAAATCATAGTTTGCCAAACATTGG